TTTATATGGTTTTATAGTCCTTACACATTATTACAGGGAAGAGGGGATTCCTCTGCTTTAAAAAGAATTATAAAACCACTGCCCTCCTTTAGCTCCTGGATTTTCACATTGCACAGCAGTAATTGTTCTGAGTAAGGGAAACTTAGAGAGATACTAGGTCAGAGTCTCCAACACTGCTTAGCCTGACCTGCTTATTTGAACAGGGGAGAGAATAATTTATCACAGCCAAGAGAAAGGGTTCCTTAAAAGTGACTTCCTTATTTCACCACACAACCTTCTGATTATTTTTGTTTTCTAAGTGAACTTGCCTGTAAAGCAGGGCCATGTCCTGGCCCACAGAATGGTGCATTTACCGCTCCTGTCTGATCCTTGTATTGATCATTTGATGCTATCTATGATCTATGAGGGATTCCAAGAGGACAAAAACAGAGTTCTTCCCCTTAAAATTTGACTATCTAAATTAATAAACACATTTTTTAGAATATTTCAATCTTGTACCACTGGTTTCATTTGAGTTGAGTAATAGGTCTAGAATAACTATCCTTAAAGTTCTCTCTGCTCTCTGCCTACCCAGGTCAAAACAAAAATGAAATTAAGTATAGTAAAAATAATAATATTGAACATTTTATAAACTTAGAGAACCCCACATTAGAATTGCAGTCTTTCATGTAGCCACAAGGTGGGCAAATAGTACAGATCAGTTCTGGTTCTTCCAAGAATGACAGCATTTAAAGTTTGCTACTGGAGAGTATATGCCTTTATCAGGTGTCCTATTTTTACAGATAAAAATATAAGAAAGAAGGAAGGTAAATGATTTACTTAAGGTTACACAATTAGTTGATGTCAGTGGCAAAATCCAATTTCCACCACCATCTCCTCCCATAGTGAAAATGGAGATGAAAAGTAATTAGCAAATGTGGTTATTAATCTGGTCAAAAACAGCTACCATCTTTTAAGTGTATCTCTTAATGGTTAAATCAATACTCTGTAAGAGCAGTAGATTTCAAAGAAGAACTTGCTTAGCTAACTGTGAATCTCCCATTTCCTGCTGCTCATTAAATTGGGGTTATCTCCAACCCTCTTAGCAGCAAAGTCTTAGCACCACCTGGAATTCATAAATAGGTAAGTATTAACTGAGATCTGTAATATTCTCAACCTTTCTAAATCTGATTTTTTTAATATATTTTATTGATTTTTTACAGAGAATAAGGGAGAGGGATAGAGAGTTAGAAACATCAATGAGACAAATCGATCAGCTGCCTCCTCCACAGGGGATGTGCCTGCAACCAAGGTACATGCCCTTGACCGGAATCGAACCTGGGACCCTTCAGTCCGCAGGCCGACACTCTATCCACTGAGCCAAACCGGTTCGGCTAAATCTGATTTTTTAACTAAAAATTGAAAAATAATATTTCTGTGGCTTTAATAATAGATTATAGTAAGAATCAAGTGTAAAATTACATACAAGTTAAAACTCCCTACAAAACACAAAGAGTGATTGTCTTTAAAATAGAAACAATGCTATGAACTTTTTAAAAAAATCTTTAAAATATCGCTCACTATTTTACTCTGCTTGGGCTGCTATAACAAAATACCGTGGACTGGGTCGCTTAGTCCACAGATGTTTATTGGCCATAGTTTTGGAAACTGACAAGTCCAAGATCAGATTTCTGGCAGGTTTGGTTTTTGGTGAGGGCTCTCATCCTGGCTTGCAGACAGCTGGCTTCTTTTTGTATACTCACATGGTGGAGAGAAAGAACTCCAATGTCTCTTTCTCTTCTTATAGGGGCACTAATTCCATCACGGGGGCTCCAGCCTCATGAGCTCATTTAATCCCATTTACCTCACAAAGGGCCCACTCCCTCATGGCATCACATTAGGGGTTAGCACTTCAACATATGAACAGTTGGTCCATAACACTCACATTAATGCTGGGAGAAAAATATTACTACCAATGAGACATGTTTTGATATCCCCAAAGAAAGAAGAAATCTGAAAAGGAATTCAGATTACTAATGGCTTGAGTGACTATGATTTTGCCATTCAAATCTCCCCAAGAGGACAAATGATTCTCAAGCTCAAAATGTCAGTAGTTAAGCACCTTTTTTAAAAGTACCAATTCCATGTGTTTGTAAATGTCTGAGAATATGAGATCTCAAAGGTACTGTAAAGATTAGCTAAAGATTGAGACCACCAGAAGCTGAATCTTTTAGCAGAATCCTGATTATGAGTGGATCATGCCCCAAATTAATGGTCCTTCCTCTATATCAGTATTCCTAGGTAGAGGTACAGTGTTTGATAGGGTTGTTCTTCCGCCATGACTTATACAGAGGGTATGTAACATTTCCCATCATTCTGATCAATCTGCAAATCATGACAAGGAGCAGATTTTCTACCCCCTTCATTCAGACGTGGGGATGCTAAAATTTTAAATCGCTAGCCGAAGGTCACGTAGCTGGGAGTCAGGATAAAGCAAGGGAAAGTATGCAGGCGTTGGGTAGGTTAATCTGGGATGGAACACTTCTCTATCACATTTTAACTCTATGACCTTGGGACAAGTAGTTTTGGTTTTCTGGGCCTTCAGTTCCATATGTGTAAAATGATAATACTGTAAAGATGAAGTAAGTTAACAGATAAAGTGCCTGGAACATAACAAGCATTTCCCAGCCCCCAGCTTCTTTCTTGGTAGCAAATCAAGGACGAGCGACCACAATGCTTAGCTCCCCTCCCGGTCCAGCGCACTCTTCATTACACTTCATGTTGCATAGATAGTGTTGTTGTGAACTGAGAATATTAAGTGCATTTTTAAAAGCCTTGTCTTCCAAAATCAATCTCTTCACATTTTTAATAATGCAAGAAAGGAGCTTGAAGTTGGCCCACAGAGATTTTTACGAACCAAAGGGTTATTTTTAATTGGGTTTTGTGCCTGTTGTTATGGAAATCGTTGTTTCATAGATTAAGCATTATGACTTTACTGCAAGATCAAGCCCAGAATGGGGTATAATGATGATATCACCCTTATGCTGCTTTTTCTTGACAAAACACCTTTAAAATTAAGAGAAGGGGAGTGAAGCTGCTTCAAAAGCACATAGTTCTAAAGGGAAAAAAAAGATCTCCCCTGTAAAAATAGCTTTAAAATGATGTATTCTCTTTTCAAAGATCAAAACTAAGAATGACCCTCGCTGCCAGTAGGATGCTAAGATTCTGCAGAGTTATTGAACATTCCTTTTTTCACCATTAAAACTAAAAAGAGTTCCTTTAATGCTGGAACTTGCTTTCAACATTTGGTCTCAAAGCATTTTTGCAGTTGCTGAGCTAACAGGCTTCCTTTAGCTATTTCGTGATAAATCTCCCTAACACTCTTCTATCTAGACAAGCTTTTATTCATGTATCCGGATGAATTTAACTTTTCTAAAGAAACAACAAGAGATTGTTTCTAATCTTCATGATGTCCCTGTGTAGACATGAGGCAGTTTGTCATGCAAAATTTAACTTAGATAACTGGCTCATTTTAAGCTCCAGTGAAACCCAACCAAGGAATACAGAACTTGTATCATCAGTGACATCCTAAGAGAGAAATCAGAGAGCTGGGTGGATAGTCTGCAGTACTAAAAGCAAACAATGAATGATCTCTTGTCGGACTGACTACTGAGGTTTCTTCTTGGTGGTTCCCATATTTATTTTTTTCCTCTTTTGTTCTCCTTTTCATTGGCATTTTAGTATGTCCTCCTGTGCTCCTTGGACATTAATTGGTTTTGTGGATAGAATTTAGTTGAAGAAATAGTGAAGCAAGTCCTGATCATGAATTAGATGAAAGTCATTAAACTTAATGATGTCATGCATTGCATTATTGAAATGTACTAGAAAATTTCATGACTTTTAAAACACTGAAATCCATCACCAAATAGTGTGGATCTTTAAAAACTTTTCATCATTTTTCTCAGTGAATCATAATGTCAGATTGGTAGAAATGCTTATTTTCCTATGAAATCTTTCCAGTTATACTAAAAGCTATTTTCCCTTGATTTGTGTGTGTTGAAGAGGGATATTTGTCTAACTTTGTCATTTCAATAATTTCCACAAAACAACTTTCTGAGATAATCTGTTTGTTCTCAGCTTATTTAAATTCCATTTATCTATGGAATTTAAACTTCTATAGATTCACTGGCAGTTACTTTCTTGGTTACACTTCTTGTCCTCTTTCTTTTAGTTTTTACCTGGGAATCCGTGTCCTCTACTGCTGTTTAATATCACTTTTTATTCCTTCCCACTCAATATGTGGCCATTTTTGGGGGGTTGTGACTTCTGTTTTCTTCATTTTTCTAAGAGGCCATACTTTTACCTACACTCATCTTCTGTGCCTCCACTAGTTTTAGTTTTTAGACACAATACATTTAAGAACTTGGTGAACATAGGAAGTACATGTGGTCAGAGTAAAGAGAGCCCTCACTCAGTATAGTACCCTGAGCAATCTCCTCTAATCCAGCCTGTGGCCACTCCCTGAAAATGCTTAGCTAATGACCTCTGGCCAGGTCTCTCCCCAAGGTCAGAGGTTACATGACTGCTAGCTACTACATTAGCAAGAATGTGATAACTGCAAAAATCAGAGAACTTCTTAGAAAAGTAAAGGTGTGTGTACATGTGGGAGGCTTCCCAATGCTGTATTGACTGTGCCCATTTATGACAACAGGTTCATTCGCTTGTCTTAGATCAATGCATAGTGTGTTGAAGATTCTTCTTAAAGTGTCACACCAGAATGTCTGCTAACTTGTCATTTTCCTTGCTTGCTATGACTCTAATGGGCTTGAAAATTGATCCAGCCAGTCTCTTCTCTCTTGCTCTCTCTCCTCTCTCTCCTATCTCTCGCATTTCTTTTTCTCTTATCTCTCCTCCCTCTCCCTTCCTTTCCCCTTTCTTTGTCTCTTTCTCTCACTCTCTGTGAGGTTCATTTGTTTGACTGATGCTGAGTGTCCATAATGACTGTTTGGCATATTCTACAGGCAAAGGTCCCGAAACCCTTTTTGCTGGCTATAACCTCAATGATAATGAATGGCACACAGTGCGTGTGGTTCGTCGAGGAAAAAGTTTAAAGTTAACGGTGGATGACCAACAGGCCATGACAGGTAAACCCCACTGTCCCCATCACCCTCTCTTTTACTGAAGCTTTAGACTTTCCCATTTCTTGCAGGTGACTTTGAAAACCAGGTGCACAACTCGAAGCTGATACACATAGTTCAATTTTGTGTGTGTGTGTGGTTTGTCTTTGGTTTTCTTTCTGTTTTAAAAGATTATTATATGTATTGGGGTGAAATTGATTAATAAGATGATATAGGTGCCAAGTATACATTTCTATGATACATAATCTATATATTGCACTGTGTGCCCACCACCCCACATCAAATCATCTTCCGTCACCATATGTTTGACCCCTTTGACCTCTTGCTACCCTCCCCGCCATCCCTCTGGTAACCACCATACTGTTGTCTGTATCTGAGTTTTTGCTTGTTTGTTGATTTGTTGCTTTCTGTTTTATATCCCACTCATGTGGTTCTTAGCTTTTTTACTGACTTATTTCTTGTAGCATGGCTTTCTTGTTTTAATCCTTCAAATTTAAGTTAAATATCAACTCAGGTATTTCCCCCCATATATTTACCAACACAGCAGCCTGTGCAACAAATTCCTAACATTTCTCTGAGTGCTGTCATTATATATTTAATTATTTCCTCACCTCATTTTGCCTGCTTTCTCCCGAAAGACTGTGAGTTTTGTGAAAATGGGACCCATGTCTGCTCCTCCTACCGCTCTCTTTTTCATCACCTGACACATGCACATACCACATACGCAGTCACTATAAGTAAACCAACAAGTTCAGTGTAAGGCTGGCGGGTTGTTTTGCTCTGCAGCAGAAATTAGCCTAGCTCTGAGCAAGGCTGAATCTCAAGAAGCTGATCTTGCTATCAGTTTAGGTACAAAAGATTTTATTTAGATATTGAGATTTTTATGTAAACACACCATCCAGTTGGGTGTTTTTTTCTATAGGAAATTGTCATCTATCTGCTATACCCAGACACTTTGATCAGAGGCATTCTGCTCATTTTAAATTACTCTTCCCACTAACTCTCTGGAAAAGACTGGATTTTTAAATGGTTGGAGCCTTAAAAAATTTTCTCCTTTAATGTCCTTAATTTTTTTTCTTAATGTATGTGGATAAGAGTAGAGGTGGCTACATTATGTATAGATGATTAAACACTGAAATAAATTCTGAGGAAAAATAGAGTTTTTAAAAGGCAGCCGTTAATGTTTTCTTAGTCAGTGGATAATGGCTTTGAGGCGCTAATTCTCTCCCTGGAGCAGGCGTAGCCACCATTACTGTCAATGCAATTTATATCTGCTTATTAAACAAAGAATAGGCTCTTGAACAAGGGCCATAATGATTTTCCTTGTAATTGGGCCATGGTGGCTCCACCACTGTTTTTGTTATTTATGCTCTGCATACATATCCTATTCCTTTGAAAAGAAAACAGACATTAGGTGCTATTTTTATCACTGAACTTCTCAGTCATCCTAAACAAAATGTGTTTCACTATTTCAGAGCTGCCAAGAACTTGACAATTTGGGGATAATATTTAATTTCAAGCATTAGGAATATTTTTTTCTGGATATTTCTTTCCTATCATTTGGCTTGTTAATGGAATTTTTAAGAAGAAATATGACAATTTTAGGATTGGGGTGGATTCACTGATTTAAAACTCAGATTTTAATATCATGAAAAAAATAAAAATCAATACAAGCCCAAGTGATTTTAAAGCTTTTTATGTTTTTCATTCGGTATGGCTTGTTAATTCAATGTTACTGGTATCTCTAGAGCTTTATATCTGACAATTATTAAAGGCTCATTTGATTTGCCACCAAAGAGAGAGTTTTCCATAGAGCAGTGTGGAGGTCATTGAACAAGAAGAACTGAAGAAGGAGAGAGAAATGATACCATACAAGAAACCAGAATTGCTAAGAATTTAATCGTATTTTTGCATCAGATAAACAAGCAGGAGACATAGTGGGGAGGAAGGAGGAGGACTGACAACTATATACAGTGGTATTTTCAGCTTTAAAAAAAAGTTTGCAGAGAGGGGATTTGAACAAACCAATGACTGATAAGAAAACACACCCAGGGTGACAGGACAGTTGTTACCAGGATCAAGGACTAGTAATCAGGTGTAAAAATTAAGTAGAGTCAAGTTCAGATTAGGGGCAAGATTTTTACACCAATAAGTTTATAAGCATCAATTAAGTATGTAGACAATTTTTTTTGCACAACAAAGAGTTTGCCTTTTATATTTTACTTACAGGCATTTCCTTAAAATGCCACCTAATATTTTACTGTCCTGACTAAAGACATGGAAATCTGTCCAGCTGGTTGAAGGAGACCCACATAGGTGGTCATTCAATCTTTATTACACCTGGGGGAAGGTCTAGTGAATTTTCTCAGGGTTTGATACTGGGATTGGCTCTAACTAATTATTTATTAATATCATGGATGATGGGATAGTGTAAGCTTAATAAATTTTCCAATTATGCCGAATTGAATAGTGAAGTTAGTAACGGGAAGAACTTGATTGCAATTGTAATGACCTTTTTGATTTTCAGAAGAATGCAAATGTCAGTTTAATTAAACAACAACAAGATGCTGGGAGTGAGTCACTAGCAAAGATAAGGTACTTTATATTGTATCTTTAAAAAACCAAGCTTACATCTTTTTTTTATGTAATTTATCTTCAACCCTAAAGGTAGGTGCGATTATCACTCTGGAGGTAAAGTGATACTAGGTTGGCTCTCAAAGGGGTTTACAGAGAAATTTGGCAGGACAAAGAGGGATGGGGGATGAATTGAAGAATGAATCACCATATAAATATGCAACCAAGCTTCATACTCAAGTGTTTAGAGATTATAACTTTGGTAATGTGGACTGCTTTTACTGGTATTCTCAAAATTGGACATACCTTGAATTTGTGCTCAATTTAGTTTTCCAAAACATAAGTGCAAGGAAAATGGCATAGATTATGGAAATTATTCAGCACAGAAAAAGGAAGGTGAAAATGATATACTTCAAACACATTTTCATGGTTCATTATTGGAAACATAGTCAGTAGCTTTTCATTATTTTAATTGGTGATAGGAAAATATACAGTCACATTGTTTTCTTTTTAAGAACATTTCTTATACAGAAAAACATCACTATGAAGCTGGAATACATCACTTTCTACTGGGTTGATTTAAGACAATCATTGTCTCTAACCCCTTTCCGTCTTCTTTCTTTCCTTCCTTCTTTCCTCCTTCCTTCACTCCTTCCTTCTTTCTTCCTTTCCTTCCTTCCTCTCTTCATCTCTTCTTTCCCTCCCTAGCTTTCTCCCTTACTCCCTTTTCTTTTCTCTCTCTCCCTTCCTAACTTTCTTTCTCCCTTTCTCCATTACTCACTTCCTTTTTTTCTTCTACTTTTAAAATATATATATATATATTTTTATTGATTTCAGAGAGAGGAAAGGAGGGGGAGAGAGGTAGAAACATCAATAATGAGAATCATTGATATGCTGCCTCCTGCACACCCCGTTCTGGCCCGCAACCCAGGCATGTGCCCTGAACTGTAACCTCCTGGTTCATAGGTTGATGCTCAACCACTGAGCCATGGGCTCTTCTACTTTTTAAAACTCTGTAACTTTGTCTAATGAGGACAATTTTTATTAAGGCTAAAATTTGAACAGAGAGAAACCTGATCTAAGAAAGTTGTATTATGTGTTTCAGCCTTGCCCTTTAACATCACTTCTGTGATTTTACTATATATAATTGAATATCAAAGAGGTATTTGGATTCTTGTATCTTAAAATATGATGTTGTTATAAATTGAAAGTGCCTTCCAGATATGGAAAATAATAATGCATGATTCTCCCATGTAGGTCAAATGGCGGGTGATCATACCAGACTAGAGTTTCATAACATAGAGACTGGCATCATCACTGAACGGCGGTATCTGTCTTCTGTCCCCTCCAACTTCATTGGACACCTTCAGAGCCTGACATTTAATGGAATGGCATACATTGACTTGTGTAAAAATGGTGACATAGATTACTGTGAGCTCAATGCCAGGTTTGGCTTCCGGAATATCATAGCAGACCCTGTTACCTTCAAGACCAAATCAAGCTATGTTGCCTTAGCTACATTGCAAGCCTACACTTCTATGCATCTTTTTTTCCAGTTCAAGACAACATCCCTAGATGGACTAATTCTATATAACAGTGGGGATGGAAATGACTTCATTGTGGTTGAATTAGTTAAAGGGTGAGTATATGACAGTCCAATGACAAATGAAACTTTGGGGAAATGGGCCTCCATTTCCAAAAATATACATTCAGCAAAATGTATTGGCTTACAAGGCAATGGGCAGGGGTATACAAATAATATATTCATTTAAATTATGTAAGTATCTTATAAATTAATAGGGGTATTGTGTAGTCTTTTACACCTACATTTCCATATGTGAGATATTATATGAGATATAAATAACATCAGGTTCTAATTTATGCTATGCATTCCATGAATCTTACACTTCCAACGTGGATTGCCTTACTATCACTAAGCACACTATAATTCTACAAAATAATTCCTACAAATTTGTAGGCTAATTTTTGCTACGTTAAATAGATAATTCAAGTAATCAGACTTCTTCAATTTTACAAAATCCCATTTAACTCAAGCTGAATTCTATGTCCAAGTTCCTTGAAGAATTTAGAAAGATTTTTGTGAAATTTCCTTGAAAGTGTGATAAAAGTTTTATGTAATTTAATTAATATGGGTATTCATTCATTCAGTGACTATTATTGCATATTTACAATGGGCTAGATAATGTGCCAGGAAATATATATATATATACTCTTGCTACCCCATGCATATCTCAGATTCCACCAACCCCAAGGCACGCATATACAAGTACTCAATCCTAGGGGTTGTAGGTGAACACATAGATAGAAAAGAAGCACTGTGAAAATTTTCTAAGATGATCGTGCGCAAAGGCTTAGTGTTTAGGGAAAATATGAAACATATGAGGCAGGGAGTGGATAGTAGAGCTGAGACTTGAAGGATGAGTCCACATTTCCATAGAGAAGCCGGCATTCAAGGTGGAGGGGAAAGCAGTGCAAGAAGCTGAGAAGAATTACCAGTTCATTGTGGTTAGCCAAGGCTTGAGGGAGGGGTGAAAGAGGGAATGATATATACTTTCCAAAATCATTTGGTCTGGCCCTGCCAAGGCATTAGGGGTGAGGCAATTCAATGTTTGACCAAATATAGCAGGCTAATTTTTAACTTGATAATTTTGTATGGCCCATGAGTGATGCTATAAATATCCAAATGGCCCTTGGCCAAAATAAAAGCTTCCCAAACCCTGGTATAGTCCCTAATTTAAAAATATATATATATATTTTCATTATTCTTTATAGTGAAGACAATAAAGAATCTGCCTTACTGATGCAGAATAGTGTTTCCTTCTCATTAGCTGAGTTTTTATACAAGTCACTCACATGACTTCTAGGAAGGACAGAGGCACCTGAAAGAAAAATTCTCCTCTTGTAGTATCGAGTTTGACTCCATAAAAAAGTTCAAAAAGTGATGGCATTTTCCCACTGTCCTTTCTCCCCCCAGGTACTTACATTACGTGTTTGACTTGGGAAATGGTGCTAACCTCATCAAAGGGAGTTCAAATAAACCTCTCAATGACAATCAGTGGCACAACGTGATGATATCAAGGGACACCAGCAATCTCCACACTGTAAAGATTGACACGAAAATCACAACGCAGATCACCGCCGGAGCCAGGAACTTGGACCTCAAGAGTAAGTGCACCGGGTCAGAGCAGCGGACATGAAACGCATGGTCGCCACTCACCTGGCAGAGCTTGGGTGTGTGTGTGTATGTGTGTGTGTGTGTGTGTGTGTGTGTGTGTGTGTGTGTACCTTCTGCAAATACTAACCAGAATTTCATTTCCTGCATATAATTAATAATACAACACACAAGCTTCTGTTCCCTCTTTAATGTGGCAGATACATGCATTTTTAATAGCAGCTCAAAACATGCAACACCTAAGAATGCATGCATGATTAAATTTTAAAGGGTGAGAGAAATGTATTTGTTTCCATATTATAAAGAAAAATAGGCATTTGCAAGTTTCTGTTTGCAATCAATGTGGAGTCAAGATAAACAGATACCTAAGGAGTTTCTTCAAGAGTTTATTTGTTTTCTTTCCCTGGTGAGATGTCCTAAATACGTACAGCCCCTCTGACCAACCGGGGTCTGAGCCTGGCTTATGCCTTTGTGCCTCCCACAGTGAATCCTCCCACCACACATGCACCAGTGGGAATGTTCTTTTACTAGCTTCTAACAAAGTCTTAGCAGACATTTTCTTTCCTTATTGATACTTGATTTCTCCAAGTGACCAATATAAACATCTTGGAAAACCTGTCAATAACAGGGAAAAAAATAACACAAGTTTCTATCTCAGTGGGCTTTTGTGAATTACTAAAAACATATCTACTAGTATCAATCCCACCACATTTTTTATAATATGTTTTTATTGATTCCATGGAGAGGAAGAAAGAGGGAGAGAGAGATAGTAACATCAATGATGAGAATCATTGGTAGGCTGCCTCCTGCACACCTCTCCCTGTGGATCAAGCCTGAAACCTGGGCATGTGTCGTGGTTCATAGGTCGGTACCCAACCACTAAGCCATGCCGGACAGGTGATCCCGTCACATTTAACAGGACAAGCAGCATTGGACGAGGTATCATTAGCATTTTATTGAGCTGGGAATGACTTGCCCAGGGATAAAAATACTGGTACAATTGAGCAAAGACACGTTCCCAGTTTTTTGTTTTTTTAATTTTTTAAAAATATATTTTATTGTTTTTTTACAGAGAGGAAGGGAGATGCATAGAGAGCCAGAAACATCGATGAGAGAGAAACATCGATCAGCTGCCTCCTGCACAACCCCCACTGGGGATGTGCCCGCAACCAAGGCACATGCCTTTGACTGGAATCAAACCTGGGACCCTTCAGTCTGCAGGCTGATGCTCTATCCACTGAGCCAAACCGGTCAGGGCACATCCCCAGTTTTGACCCAGGCCCCTCTGTTGCTGCTTCTGCCCCGTCCTGGATGCATTCCATAGTCCTACAGGGACCCTCATGGTCACATTTTTTACTTGGCAAGAGGTGTTCGCTTGTACTGATGTGATCTTTCCCTTTGATTCAAAGAGAATATACATGGGGCAGTTAGGGAACTGGAAAGAGAAAACCCAACAGAAGTCTTTCTAGAGAATGATCCTCTTTCTAAATCAGATAAAAGAAGAAAGAAAAGTGTTTCACTTTCTGTAATTGCAGAACTTATTTATAATCACCCAACACCTAAAATAAGTGGTAACGGCTGTCTCCCTCTCTCAGAGTGGCCTCTTGTTAACTTCAAAGACATCTTGTTTGTGCCCACAGATCAAGTAGCTTAGCTCAAAAGGTGAAATGCAATTCAAAGGAAATGCTGCTTACCAGGCCAACCCTCTTTCTTGTCTCTGACTGAAGGGAATAGAGGGCATTTTCTGCCCCTGATTTTTTTGTGCCCCGATGTACACAGCAGGCTCAGGCGGTCATTGTGAAGGAAAGGGAGAGATCATGACACTGAGTGTGCTGGCCAAGCCAGCCACCAGCTCAAAGCCAAATGCTGTCCTGTTTGTGTAGGGAGGGACCTCAGGAAGCATGAGTGAGCCTCACTAGAAACTGGGCACTATGTCCGGGACTAAAACGGTTGGAAAAGAGCAGTTCAAGGTAGGTTGAAGCATGTGACCTGCACAGACCTGCCCATCGAGGGCACAGAGGAGCCATGCCAGGTAGTGGGTAATGTCTCATCAGACAAGTAGGGCACTGTCTCTGAGACACATCGTTTCTCCTTCCTGCCTACATGCCTACTGCCATTGGGGGGCTTATCATATAGGACCGTCTATATCAGTGGTTCTCAACCTTCCTAATGCCTCGACCCTTTAATACAGTTCCTCATGTTGTGGTGACCCCCAACTATAAAATTATTTTCGTTGCTACTTCATAACTGTAATTTTGCTACTGTTATGAATCATAATGTAAATACCTGATATGCGGGAGGTATTTTCAGGGGTCGCGACCCACAGGTTGAGAACCACTGGTATGAACTCTTCACTCAGCACTGAACAGCACTGTTGTCTTCCGTGCCAGTCATGAAGGATTCAGCCACTCCAATCTGTCTTGGACAGCTTTTATTTTATGCCTTTTTTTTTCTCCTAAGAGCTGTATTCTTATAGGGTTAAAAGAAACTCATCAGGTTTATTTTACACTCTCCTTAAAGTCACTTTAGTTCTTCTCAAAGTGCAGTCAACCAACTTAACCCCATCGGAGTCACGTGGAGGGATTTACTCAATGCAGATTCATGGGCCCCACCTCAGACAGACTAAGATTGATGCGCGCGGAACAGGTGTCGGTATTTTTAAAGAGCACTCACTAATCTAGACCCTGTGCTTTTCAAAGTCCGGAAAAATGCGGTATCTATGTTGAGGCCAAATTTAACTCACTTTTTAATTTTAGTAAAAATCCTGGCTTTGCCTTTTTTCCCCTAAGAATTTTACTTGCTTTGTTTTGTTTGACCAGTCCTGTGCTGAGATGATATGGGATGCCTGGGGATCATGAAAAGTGTTTTTATTTCTCATGTTACCATCCCTTAAAAAGACACTAGAGGGCGGCATAAGGCCACAAAACTTGCCATCTGGGATTCAGGAGGGGGAAACCTCAACAGGCTCCTTTTGTGCTAGGAAGCAGAATTTCTTTGTTTTCCCACCATCCCAGATCCCAGTTAGTCTTCTGATAATGCATGATTTCGCCTGTGGCTCTGTTTCATTATATGCATTGGACCTGACAGTAGAAATTTGAAAGCTAGGGAACATGTGTGCCAATCCCTACCTTGACTTTGAAGGAGATGGTCAGAAATGGGCAGCAGTCGAATGATCTTTCTCTGAAAAAGAGAATTCTGTGCAGGTGACCTTGTTCAAATTATGTTTCCTGACACTGCCGGGTCCTCAGGGGAGGTGTGTCTCTCCCTGCTGACACAGTTTTGCTTTCATCTTTATTTCCCAGCTGTTTGTGTTCTATTCCCTCTGGCTATTATGTACAAGCTGCAACATGCAATGAAAAGAGCAGCATAAATTTGCTCTCTGGAATGAATTTCTAGCACAGCTGTACATTCATTGTGGGGCTTTTGAGTCCTGCCCCCTTCAGAGAGATAAAGGGTCGGTGTAACGCCTCCTCATGTTCCTACTCTTGTTCCTATAGTTGGCAAGTGTGTATGTTTGTATGTGGTTGTATATAGGAAGGAGCTGATATTTATTGATTTCCTATGAAATGCTAAGGAGATTTAAATCAGGTTATTTTATTTAATCCTAGCCATTACCCAGGGACTTGAATCAAGGTCAGTCTTGTTCATTCGTGAATCTAGTTCAAGAACAAAGAGAGGGAGGAAAGATAGTCTTTGACCTCTGTCTTCCATGGGTATCTTTCTTTATAGCATTACTTGTTTATCCTTCAGCAAATTGAGGACAATTTACTTGATGGGGGACAAAAAAAAAAAAAGAAGAAAGAAAAGATTTCCAGGTGACTGGAATACAGTGTCTTCAGGTGTCCACTTAGGAAAACTACTTAAAAGTGAATATTTCATTTATAGGCCATGTGTAGGTCAGCCTAGGCTGAGCTTTGCCCTTTGTTCTTCTTCTCAGACCCCAAATTTCTTGCCCCTAAGGGCTTTGAGCAGCTCTCCCTCTGTCCCCTATCTTATCTCTTCCCTCTTCCCACCCAAACTAGGACTATTATCTATTCATTAACCTTCCTTTTATCCTCAACTCTACCTTTCCCTAATCAGAGATGGCCCAACCAGGGCTTTCCTTTCAAATGCATTCTACTTCTAAGCAAAGATTAGAAGGTAAAGGCAGGGGAGTATCTCTCTTCCAGGATGTAGCCTGTGTGGGGTTTTTTTTGTTTTGTTTTTGTTTTTACTTTTGTTTTTGTTTCCAAATTGAAGGCAAGAGCCTCCACCAGCAAAGGAGTTATGATTCCCTTCGTTGCGCTGGTCTGGAGCCAAACCTGCAATATCTCTGAGCTTTGGCTGTAGTATTCTTGTTCTTTCCAACTTGATCTCACACTTGTCTCCGTTAATCAGCTACCTACTCACTCAATCCTGAACATAACCCCTGTGCCCCCATTGTCTCCCCTTTACTGTTGCTATTTGATAAGTCATTGCTTTGGTACTTGAGCGATCCAGAGGACACCCAAGTCCTGGCCGTGTCTAAACATGCCCAAGCTTTGTTCATCCACATGCCATCCAATCGCTCATTTGCTCAAATAAGAAACTTTAAAAGAACAGTCTGACTTTGAGCTTAGCCTTAAAGCAGGAGGTGGCACTGAAAATGGAGGCAAGCTCCTGTTATCCTGTTGGTGAATTGATTGATTGATCTATTGATTTTTAGTTTGTAAGGGAAAGAGATTTACTCCCATTGCTTCAGGTAATGGGAGATTATTTTAAGGATCCATTAGGAAGAAAGACACATCCTTTTAGCTGCTGAGCCATGAGGTCACACAACAAATAAGAACTTTGTTCTAATAGTCATACTGGCATCTCAAGAACAACCCTCTTAGGTGCTCCCTTGGCATATCCCCCATACATCCTCCCACTGCTCTGCCCACTCCCACTGGGATCATTTCTCTCTCTTCTCTGCTTCCGGCTTCTTCTACCTTGCCTTCTTCCAACTCGTGGCTCCTACCTATGGCTTTTGTTC